GACTGCACGTGTGTGAGGGCGCGTGCTGGAGGCAGCGTGACCTATAATGTATAAGATGAGTCACACATCCGCCTATATCAGCCTATAGAAAGATTTCTGTCTTTTTATAGACCTCTAATGAACTAGTCACAAGAAACTAAATTTGCTTCACACACACACGCACACAATGGTGCCTGGTTTGCCTCAGTTACATCACACAGACTGTTTAATACAAACAGGCACCACACTGACTGCACAAGTTGATGCTTATTTTGCTAATGACAAACACTAGGCACATAAATGACCGAGCTAGTTCTTACAAAAACAGCAGCAAGCAAATTTCTGAAAGAAACAACAAACAAAAGATTATTTTAAGCAACAGCTGTGATGATATCTGTAGCTCTATGTGTGTTTACAGGGAAATAGCTGACTTATCAAGAGCATACCAGAGGCTATTATTCTCAAGCTCCCACTTTCTGATAGCTTTCAACTGTACATGAGCATAATATGATATGATTTGTGTAGTGTAGAACTGGGGTCGCTGTAGCTCAGGAGGTCGAGCAGGTCACCGATTAATCCAGAGGTTGGTGGTTCAACCCAAACCTCAATGCCAAATATCTTTGGGCAAGATGCTAACCCTCAGTTGCTCTCTGATGCCTCTATTGGAGTGTGAATGTTAGATAGTAAGCACTTATATAGAACGAGCATAGAAAAAAGTACTTGGATGAATGAGGCAAGTTGAATAAAGCGCTTGGAGTGCTCAGTTTGAGCAGAAGAGCGCAATATAGGGACCAGTCCTATTCAACATTCAGAACAACTTCCAATTAGCAGCTACATCATGATATTTTTGGATAACAAAATTCAAACTGAAGACAGCTACCTTGTTAGTTAGGCCAAAAATCCAAAATGTAAAATCAACCACCCATTTCTTTCTCCAAGATTTACAAAAATTTTGAATTACTTTTGTGTTTTTTAACCAACATTTGTTAACCCTTTGACTGCCTGCTCAACCATTTGGTTTAGTGGTTATGATTGCTAAAACCCATGGGCTTTTTTCTTACTCTAAAATCTTTTTACAATACAGCTTTGTGCTTTTTAATAAATGTCATTTTAAAAAAAGCAGATCCCATATCTACCACAGTATTAAAGTTTAATTCTTATTCATTCAAAAAAGTGAATTGTTCATTCATCTAACAGTTTATATGCAGCTTACAACACCGTGTGACTGGTTACAGATAATGTCAGCACTGTCACAAAGCTGCAAGTCTGGACTTTTAAAGCTGATGTAAAACACATCTATTCAGTCTTGTTTTATGCATATCTTCTCACCATCATTAGCCCCATATTTACAACCACTTGTGTATTCACTAAGAATTAGACAGTCACAGGAGGATGGCTGTGTTTTGCGGCTGATGGGAGCTTGAATGTGCTGCCCGAGGGATTCTTGGAAATGGTTGGATACAGCAGTTGTCCTCTGAAGGGCAGAGAGTGCAATTTTCCACAGAAAGATGATTATTTCCAAGAAAACGTTGTTTGCAAATTATTGAGAAAAAGAAATCAAATTATAGGGAGTGGACAAAATAACAAGAGGAGAGAAATAACACGTGTATAATGCGTACATCATTCTGCATACAAGCTGTCCGGTTTGAAAATGCATATTTATGTGGATGACTGTAATCTAATCAAATTCATGGTTCACAATTAAGTCTTACTTAATTAAATTTTCTTGTGTGGTGTTTTCTGTGATTTGCATTTTTTATTCACCACTTGTGATCTGTGGAGTACATTACTGAGTACAGCACTGTAATGAGCCAGGATTGCTGTCATTTACTAGCAAGTCCCAAAACCATGAGTCAGTTTTAAAAAAGATTCCACATAAAATATAACAAACAAACAATAACCAGGCTCAGTACACCATGAGACATATTTGTTCATGTCGCCAAATAATATAGATTTGGACCTCGAGAGGCTTTTTTGCTTGAAGCAAGACTTGCTTTGCCTTTAGTTCTTTTTCTTTATCACAAAATCTAAAGCGCTCTGCTGTTTTACAGAGGCCTTGTCAAGCTAAGGTCAGTCATATTTTTACTAGTGCTGGTTCAGATCCTGCTTAAACATTTGCTCAAACTCAAAAAAACCCAAACACATCCTTCAGGAAACCTGTTTGGAAATAAAGGCTGTTGCTTTTCCAAACAGGAAATGTTGCCTACAGATACCCTCAAGGTGTCTTCTTAAAAATCCCAGGCGGTCTACACATGTTTATGTTTCTCTTCATAAACATGTAATTCTGGGCTTCATCTTGCTCACTTAGTTTGTTCTTTATCTGGTTAACTGAAGTGTTCCCGGAACTCGCCCATCTGCTTTTTCCCGTCTCATTATGAACTCCTCTTCTGCACCTGTAAAGCTGCTAGTTTCTGGGAAAGATTCTGTTTGCACATGTGGTTTGTGTGCGTGTGGACCACAGCTGATTTGATTCCTCCTGAATGTCAGTTAGACAGTCTTAACGTTCTTTTGTTCAATAAATTTCCAAGTCTTACAGAAAACATTGAACTTAAGAACCATTTTGGTCTTACAGGGGCTATCCAGGATTACTTTCTGAAGGAATGGCAGGCTATAAGTTATAAGACCAAACTTGTCAAATTGATGTAAAAGCAACAACAAAAAAAAAGTCATATGTTTGGTTCACAATTAATAGGCTGCGTGAACATGTTACACCATGCTAGGAGAAAAATGCTGACTTTTAAATGTCATATACTTGGAATAGATCCCATATGTTTTACTCTATTGAAGTGGTTTTGATTTCTGGAGGACTATTGATTGACTATTGAGTTCAGGAACGCCTTTCAACATAGACTTTCATTTGTGAATCATTTTGATCCAAAAATTTACTGGTGTGAGCAAATGAATAAATTTCATTATGCCATTGAATGTGGCAAATATTGACATTCCACTGTAAATTAATATTTCTCTTCTTTTCAGATCTGAGGAGGGCAACAACTGAGCCTACGAGGATACAAATATTACACTTAACAGCATTGCAAGCACACACTGTGCTTTTTGTTTCTCTCCAAGTGGCACAAAATGAAATCTGACAGCCAGCGTTGCTGACCACGCAGCCTTAATTTGATGCACATGCTCATGTGAAGCATTTATGAGTAAATTTAATATTCTGATGACAGATACAATGGAACAATGGAAATGACTGTAGCAAGAGTCGCATGGGCACTTTATGATAGACTGTACAAGCCAGGTTTGAAAAACTCAGAAACAGAACAGAGGGAGCATGTAAATGAACGTTTGTAGTGAAGTTTGAACTTTGTTTTCTAAATCTGAGTATGTGCTCGATGGTGTTATGGTTGCAGAATTTGCAAATGTTTCCCCCGAGAATTGTGTAAGTGTGTCTCAGTCCAGGTGTCTGTAATGTGATTAGAAACTCTGGATGCACACTGAGATTTCTAAATGTGTTGATTATTCTGCAAAATGTTTTCTCGGAATCTTGTTGCGTAATCATATTTTGGCGTGTGTAGAAAAAGAAAAATCTCCCAATCCGTATTTCCAAGTATGTAGAGATTTTTCGGTGCGTAGAATGAATAAATATAAAGTACTGAGGCACAGTGCACACTAAGTGGGGTGGGGTCACAAATATGCACAAACATTTGCAGCTCAACAAATGCATTTTGTCAGTGTATATTTTCAAATTTGTTCACACATTAGATTTTTTGCATGGACGTACATTTCTGCACCGACATATTCTGAAAATTTCCAAATTATTTCACAAAGATTATTAAGGACACAGTGGTTGAGACACAGTTTCACAGCTCTTCAGATACATTTGCAAATATCGCTAGAGTAATACTTCCTCATATGACACATATTAAGAGTGTAATAAAATAAGCTATTTATTTAAAAACAATTTTTACTGTCAATAAGACAGAGCAAATAAGTAAAAATGTGAATAAATAAATGCGAAGCCTAAAAAGTTCACTTTAATTGCTTATCTCTGTTACAAAATGTCATGCATAGCAGCTGTTTTATTAGCTTGGCCTGTGCACCCAGTACAGTATAGACCATATGAAATTTATAGTGATCAAAGTAAAACCCATATGACATAAGAGAGTCATGAATCTTAATTACAAAAAAGGAAAAAGAAAAAGGAAAGGTAATTCATGTCCTGGGCTAAATGTTGTATACAAGGTTGCCAGAGGTTGCCAAAGTCAAATATCTTGTAAAGTTCAGGTCAGTTTATTTCCTGGTCATGCTACACCAACACTTTTACCATGATTACTTAGATTTTGTCCATCTAAACTTTGTCTAAGCACCAAGTATTCACCAATGTCCCTCATCAAACTGTCATACTGTAGCTTTACTTACACAGGTAACACCCTGATTGTAATAACATGTAATAACATTTGTCTTGATGCATGCTCAATTATACAGGTAAGAAATACCAAAAGGTTGATTCTGTTCATCTGGACGTAGCGTTTTCAATGGGAGAAACGTTTCGTAACTCATCCAATGACTACTTCAGTCTCACCTGACCTTAACCTTATAAACAGTACATTTTCATAATAACTGAAGCCAACAATGGGCTGTGATGTCAGTTCTTTGATATTTAATATGAAATTGCTATTATCACTGATCAAAGACCACTGATCAATGATCAATACACCTACAGGCCAGTGGACACCCTTTCAATGATGAGGATGTACACATTCTAGACAGGGAGGAACGCTGCTTTGAGGGCGGAGTCGAGGAGGCCATTTACGTGAAAAGGGACAGACTATCTCTGAATCGAGGAGGGGGCCTAAAGGTACATCTTTTGCCATCTAACAGTGCTGTGATTGCAGTCATTCCCCAGCTCTCTGTGAATGGTACTCATGGCCATTAATCAACAGTCATGACAATTTGCATATTAATGATCAAGGAACTGACCTCACAGCCCATTGCTCATTCAGCTGTGCTAGTTTCAGTTATTGTGCAAATGTACTGTTTATAAGATTGGGGAAACCTGCAGTCAGCTGAGACTGAAGAAGTCACTCAGATGAGTGACGAAATGTTTCTCCCACTGAAAACGCTATGTCCAGATTAACAGAATCAGCCCTTTGGGATGGAATAACATTACATCAAAAATCATGGCCCTAACATTATCAGATTTTGTTGTCATAAAGAAAAGCAAGAGAAATGTTAGTGCAATGTTGAGAGGAATTAGCTTCTATGTTTTGTATGTGTACCTGGTGCCAGGTATTGCAATTTTAAAAAGGAATATTAATAGATTAAAGGACAGCTTGTAATAATTCTGATGGCTACTCACAAATAGCTGAGTCCATGACTGGTTTGTGTGTCCGTATTGTCATGTGCCACAATAACAAAAATCACGCTTGTGATTGCAAAATACCACAGGCACTTAGTCTTTAATAAATAGTAAACATTAACTTCTGTTTCATATATACATGTATTGTACAAGAAGACTTGTAGATGCAGTTGCCGCACATTAAATGCACAAACAAAACCTTTTATACAAAAAAAAATAAAGATAACAAACTGGCCTTCAAAGTTTTTCTTTGGATAGAGATACCATAAAAAGCCTTGCATACTTTCCTTTTAAATTTTTGTAGTTTTCCTATAGAAATAAATGCATGAGGGACATCGCTTTTAGCAGCAGTGACAAACAAAGCACCCTTGAATGTAAAAATGTTTTAATAAAAATGTGTATTTTTTCTTTTTCTCTGGTTATTTTTTTGTACTGCTTACCTTAATGACATATTATAATTTACTATTTAAGCACCAAGTATTTGGCAATGTCCCTCATCAAACTGTCATACTGTAGCTTTACTTCCTGAGAGATAAGTAACTGCTCTGGAAATGACAACAGAATCCAACCAGTGTAAACTTTTGCAATTTAGTTTGCAGTTAAGTGAAATAGAAGCTAAATGTCTGCTTTGCGTATTGGCCACTCAATTGAAATGTATTCATATTTGTACTGTGCAAACTGCAGTCCTGGGCTGTAATCTGAAATGGGATGAAACTTTGGATTCTAGGTGGTAGATTTTGTTGCCGTGCGAGTGTCAGTACCACTGTCATTTTTTAAAATCTACATTATCACTGAATTCTTAAGCAAAAGGGTGGTTTAGGGAAATAAAAGCCGAGCTTTGTAAAGTGCTGTAATCCTGGATGTACATTTTTTTTTTAATTCCTTCTGCTTCTCTTTATTGTGTGTGCACAGGCAAGGCGATTTGCAGCAATCGGTACCCTAAAGGGCTTTACTTAAAGCAACTGTGCAAACATTTGACTGATATGACAGCTTTTTTTTTCTTTCTTTTTTTGGTGGAACTACCCATTAGAAAGCATTGCGGCAGATAAGCGGTGTTTTCAGACAAAGTGTTCATCTCTATAAGAGAAATGATAAGGCTTGGTTTATTGTACTGCGTGGCCTCTCTTCATCCTCAAGAGAAAGTTTCGCTTCTCCTCTAGGAGCTCCTGAATGCGTTTGTTCCTGGTTCTTTCTCTAAGGTTGATCCGATGCTTTGGGATCAAGTTGTTCTGAGAGATGTCGCTCTCCGAGTTGATGACCCTGCTGTAAAAAACATCGATCGAGTTGTCTTCACTGTTTTTCTCAGCACTTCGTGGAGGTCTTAGAGTGGAGATGGTGGTGGTGAGGGTTGTTGGGTTTGTATTTGTACCTGTGGTGGGAGGTGAGGCAGTACCTGTGTTTGAAGATGTTGTGTCAACAGGTATATTCGCAGGGATGTACTCCGCCTGATCCAGCCAGGGTGAAGAGCTTAGCTCTGTCATATCATCTCCATTTATGATTGGGAATGCCATGGTGAGGCTGTCCTCTATCACCATGGTGTTACTGACCACGCCCACATTTCTGTAGGACACGGTGATGTCATCACCACTGGGATTGCTACCATTGTCTTCTGAAGAGGGAGGGAGAGTAGTTGTGTAATAACGTGTTTTCTTCTTTGGATAAGTCTTTACCACCTTAAATCTACTCTTATCAACTTTGGCTTTTAAGTTTACGCCACTTTTGCTATAGGACACTGTAATGGCATCACTACTGGGATTGTTATCACTGGGGACTGAAACATCGACGCTTTTAGTCACTGGCACAGTGATGTAAGGCATGGCTTCATTGGGCGTTGTGATATCCTCGACAAAACTGTTTTCAGTTGGTATTACGAGATCATCAAAAGTACTTAGTGTTGTTGTTCCAGCATTTGCACTTTCATCATACCACGATTGAGTTTGATCTGTAGCTTCCATGCTATTACTGACATATGGGGCATTGATTCTTGATTTAGGGAAAAGGGAGATCATTGCTGTACCAGTAATGCTCGAAGAAATAGTAGAAGAAAGATCCTCTATTGGGTGCTGCCCACTTGAATAGGGAGGGAAAGTAGTTATGTAATAATGTGTTTTCTTTTTTGGATAAGTCTTTACCACCTTAAATCTACTCTTGTTAACCTTGGGCTTTGTTAATACGTTTGTGCCGCTTTTAGTGTAAGACACTGTGATGTCACCACCATCGCGACTGTTGCTACTGGTAACTGAAACGTCAACGCTTTTAGTCACTGGGACATCTATGTAAGGCACGGCTTCCCTGGGCATTGTGACATCCTCGACCAAACTATTTTCAGTGGGTATTACGAGATCATCGAAAGTACTGAGTGTTGTTGGTCCAGTATTTGTGCTGTCATGGTACCAACATGGAGTTTCATTTGTAACTTCTACGTTATTAATGTTGTATGGCACATTGATTTTTGACTCAGGGAAAAGGAAGCTTATCGTTGTACAGGTAATGCTGGAAGAAATAGTAGAAAAAAAGTCCTCTGTTGGTGGTTGCTTGGTTGAAGGAGGAGTAGTTGTGTAATGATGTTTTTTCTTTTTTGGAAAAGTCTTTACCACCTTAAATATATTCTGATTAACTTTTGCCTGTGAGTTTAAGCCACTTTTGGGTGCTGGTTTTGGGTTCTTTGGTGGCTTGTGCTTTGTAACTTTTATCTTTGGTTCAGTTTTCTTTTGAGTATTGGAATTTGGTGGAGCATCTTTTTTAGGGGAAGGTTTAATTTTTTCCCCTGGAGTCTTTTTGGGGGGTTTATTTGCTGAAGTTGCCTTTTTGGGAGCAGTGCTTGATGAAGTAGTCTTTTTCACTGGAGTAGTGTTTGGTGGAGTAGTCCTTTTTGGAGACGTGATAGCAGGAATAATCTTTTTGAGGGTAGCGTTTGATGGAGTAGTCTTTTTTGGAGAAGTGGTCAATGGAGTATTCTTTTTAAGAGTAGTTTTTACTGGAGTAGTCTTTTTGGGAACATTCTTTGATGGAGTAGTCTTTTTCGGAGTAGTGCTCGATGGAGTAGTCTTTTTCGGAGTAGTGCTCGATGGAGTAGTCTTTTTCGGAGTAGTGCTCGATGGAGTAGTCTTTTTCGGAGAAGTGTTTCCTGAGGTAACCTTTTTTGGAGTACTGTATGACTTCTTCTTGGGATTGAGCTTTGGTATAGAGGGTTTTCCTGGAATGCTTTTCGGGGTCGTATTCTTTTTTGGATTCTGCTTTGTTGGACTTGTCTTTTTCAAGGTTTTCTTTGGCGGAATAGTCTTCTTAGGCTTGGAGTTCTGTAGAATGTCTGTCTTTTTACTGTTTTCTGCTGGCTGGGTCATTGGCAGAGTGGTTGTTGTTGTGTCCGTTTTCAAACCAAATGTTACTGGTGTATTTGTAGATGTGTGCACCAGATTTTCAGTGCTGTTGTTTATGTCTGGAGGAGGCAAAGGTAGAGGATATGTGGTAACACTGCGAATGGTTGTGGACTCCCTGGTGATTGCTATGGAAGAAGTTGTAGGGTAAACAGGGGCCCTGGTGGTAGCCGGTGAATGAATGGTAATCATTTGTGCGGTACTCAGTGGGGTGGCATGAGGAGCTGTAGGGGTAGATGTAGGAGGATGAGCAGTAGACGGTGAACTAATGGTAGAAACTGATGTGATGACAGCTTTGGAGGGTTGTAAGGTGGTGAAGCCAGAGCTTGGGATGCTTGTGGTTGGAGGAGATGTAACTGTGATGGATGTGGCTCTGGGGGTGGAGCTGGGGACAGGCACTATGTTAAGGACATTGCTGCAGGATTCGCAGCATATGCGCTGGTAGTCCGGTAGAGAGCAGTAGCGTTTCAGCACCTCCATGCGACAGAAGACAGACCGGTCTCCATGACAACGGCCTGTAAACAAAAAAACAGAAAGCTGAACAGAGAGGTAGAAGCTACGATAATATGTGTGTGTGAGATTGCTCTATGCTAAAGAACGTGAACAAAACTATATTGTTACAAATTGGCATTACTCTCAAGTTACGCATACATAAATCCATGCACACGTGAGTGAAAGTACATGTTGGTTTCACGCTGTTAGAAGTACAGTAGTAAAGCCAGACCACTAGCAGAGGATGCAGGAAGGAGAAAAAAGGAGAAAAATCCACACATCAAGAGCATTGATGAGATTCATCCAGAGCAACTGAAATGGGAAAATAAGGGTCGCCAGTCTTGTGTTGCACCTATAAGAGATCAGGATTTTTCATCTAATTCTGCTTCTGCTCACGTGTTTCTTCATTTTTTTCAGACGTGCAACATTTTCAGTTCAATATTAAGTCTACCACTTGACTTGTACCCTTTTTGTACCATGCCAGTCAAAAATAACTACTTTCTTATTGCAGTATATACCAATCTGACAAAAAAAAAATCTAACTAGTGAACATTCCCATTAGGAGAAAGATCACACTTTTTAAAACGATTTTTATTGATACAACTTTGCTTTTGAGAATGACAGGAACTGAAACAATGAGATGTACGCCCCGCCCTCCCCTCTCAATATATAGATATATTTTTTTTCTTAAGAAAAATAATTCAACTGTATCGAAAGTTACAAGTTCACAGTCACTTTGGTAAAACACTTGATTACTTGGAAATCAACCAGTCAATCTGTTTATCGATTGAAGAAGAAAAAGAAAACAACAGAAAACAAACAAAGATGAAATACATAAATGATATTTGCTGCTTAAATAAAATACATAATTTTCATGTTGATGTAAAAACTGGAATGGCACATTAAGTGTCATATGAAACATTTACAAAACATTAATAAAATTTCCCTGATAAATCAAAGTGCATATAGACGCAGTGCACGTAGTCCATCTGAATGTTTCTTCAACGTTAGCCAAACGTTAGCCAGCCCCACGCAGCAGGCCAGTGAAGCCACGAAACAGTTACCCATAGTATAGAATATTATAGAAGAAGATAACAGTCATGAACATTATTAAATACAGTCAACACCAATGTTATATACAGTATCGCACTGCTAGGTCTGGCTTGGTCTCATACAGTCCAACTCCAGCAGAAGGAAACCTTGGATAGCTCGCTACATAGTCACAACAGAAATATGTGTTCACAATACAATGACAAGTCTGAAGTGTTTTTTTCTTTCTTTTTTCTTTTTCTTTTTTCTAGATGCCACATGTGTCAATACCCTAGGCCCTTGGAAACCCTTCCCAGTAGTCGGACATTGGTCCAACATCATCTTGGTAGGTTTGATGGTTGGCGGGTGTGAGTTTGTTACGTTGGTTTGAAGCTGCCTCTATTCCGAGTGAAACTTTGAATGAGTAAAGCCATCTCTTTCACAGATAAATGCCATTACATTCAATCCAAGATAAGGCATTGTTCATGTTTTCAATGTTCACCAAAATAAAATGAGATCATCGGACGCTCTAAAATCAAAGTTTATGAGGTATTTCTGTATCTGATCGCAATGTGTAAAAGCCCAAATGATGAAGCACCCTCTCTCTCTCACACACACACACACACACACACACACGCACACACACACACACACACACACGCACACACGCACACACATACACAATCACACAAACACGCAACGATTAAGGACGCTCATTCATCTAACGCATACATCCTCCCAAACACACATGCACAAAGACGCGCACCCACACACACACCAGTGCACTCACGCACGGATCGATACAAACACACAGGTGATGGACGCAAATGTGCATGACAAAACGTGATCCTGGCCGTAAAGAAAACGAGAAGCAACAGTAAACCACTGATCCATCTGAGAAAATGGAGAGGCAAATAACTGACCAAGTCCTGCATAATATAGGTCTAACCCTTTCCCCCAAAACACTTTACCTTTATTAAATATTCATCTGTATTCATGTAAAATCAATAAAAAAATACACATAACAGTCAAGGATCTAAGCGATCAATAGCAGTCCAAAGATTTTAGGCAAATAAGCTACAGCTTATTCATGGTAAAACATTATTAATATTATTGTTACTCATATAGATTTATATTTATAGTTATATATAAATACAAATATATTTATAGATGTATTTGTTTAAAGTCTGCAAGCACAAATAAGCTGCATTTATTGAACTTTTGTATAACAGTCAAAGAGAGGATGGCTGATGATGAGGTGAAATGGGAAGCAACCTCAATTGGTCAAACTACCCTGTTTTTTTTTTTCTTTCTTCTTTTTTCTTTTCTTTTCTTTTTTTTTTTGAGTCGTCACCTCAGAAGACCCTCCCACAAAAATCAAAAGGTTTACTGACTTCACTTCCTGCCTCTGTGCTGAGTTCCTGTCAATCTGAGAATGGAACGTGGGATGAGACACCACTCTCATCCCCAAATGGAACCAATATGTCAGATGAGCACTTTAGCAAAGATGTCCTCAGATCACATTCACAGTAAAGCTTTCATATTATATATATATGTATATATATATATTTTTTCTATATAGATATTTATACCTTTTCTGTTTATTTTGACACCTGTTTCTCCCCCACATTGACAATGCGCTACAAAAAGAAAAAAGCGCAGCTGCATGATAGCACACAGCTAGCTCGCGCAAATCACGGCCGCCGAATGCAGAGGGGGGGGGGTCCCCTCGCACGTGAACGGCTCTTCGACACATCTCAGGAGATGCCAATGAAAACTTGTTCGCCTTGCCACTACGAAATCCTTTTCACATCAAATTTTTTGTTGATCTTTTGAGTTTTCGACTGGCCAGCGGTTACAACACAATGCTCCACAAAGGAGACAGAGAGAGAGAGAGAGTTAGAGAGAGAGAGAGAGACAGAGCAAGAGAGAACCAACTAGCACACGCAGGAGCCAGAGACCTCCCCCAGTCAGAGCCGTCTCAGACACAGAGAGAGAGAGACAACATCCCCCCCACCCAAAAGAGAAGCGAAAGCTTTTGCCGCTCGCTCACGGGCGTGGCACAGGCACAAGGCTTGGGGCAGGGGGCGGGTCAGGGGGCCAGCCGGGGCCGGCCCTGCAGGGACAGGAGGACAGAAATGGGCAGGGCCCAGCAGAGGACAGACATGCAGCTGCAGCTGCTGCTGTGGAGGCCAGGCTGGGAACTATAGAGGGAGGTTTTACGTGAGGAGATCTTCGGGAAGTTGGGGTTGGGGCGTGACAGCCACTGGATCAAAATGTTGCCGTTCTTGTTGAGGTCTGGTGGGCCCTCTGCAGAGAAACATGGAGAGAGGCATGGAAACATTAAGAACGACTATAAGGGAACATGAGCAATATGTAACAATTTTTCATCCTTATCCTTTTAATTCTTTTAGCACCCATCACACCTAGCTTCTACACTGATGCCAGGGGCTAAATCTAGTTTCGTTTTATCTGTTTATTAAATATATTACGCCTCCAGAATGTGTCTCTGACATTTCAGCTGAAGCTACGACTGGAATCGGTTCAGTTTGAACTGACATATTTACATGCAATGACAGTGACCTTGTGACAATTTATTACATGGTCGCGACACATAATGTGTTGAAATTATATGTGTATTATCATGCCAACAATACCAGCTGAAGGCCAATTTCAAGCTTTACCAAATTACCTGTTGGTGACATGAGCAGAATCTCCATACTCAGATTGCATGGCGCTTGTGTAATGGTTGCTCAAAGCAAGGCAAGAACAGGACTCTCACACTGTGGACTATTGCCCCTGTTATGCTGCCACTTTGTTAGATATTTATCACTTTCTATTTATTTATTTCTTATAATCTTGATTTGGTTAGTCAAGCAGTTTTACTTCATCTTTAGTTACATATTTAGGCAAGTAGCTGGTCAGGAGGAGAATGCTGTCACAGAAATAACTGCATGTAAAACTTAAAAAAAGAAACATGGTGTTGTGGTAACCATAGGCACTATACAAAAGATGGACACAGCCCCTCACTGATTTATGGAATACCCTTAGTGTTACCATCTTGGTTTTTTAAAAACTGAATGTAATCTATTTCCAATTCTGCATGTTCTACATGGAGAGAAACAAAATATATCCATAGCACCACTTCATTATGTACATCTTTTCAACTGCTCATTAATGCAAGTATCAGTTCAATGCATTTATGCATGTACACATGGTCAAAACCAGTGAGCAGTAGTTCTCTGAGAGAAAATGCTTTGTTGATGCCTTTTGACTGCTTTAAAGTGATAGCAAGGTAACAGTAACTCCAATGAACACTTGTTACAACCAAGGTATGCAATGAATACCTCTCAATGCATAACACATTAAATCTAGCAAAAGGGCTACAGCAGCAGAAGACCACACTGGGTGCTTCCACAAGTCACACAGTCTCACCAAAACTGGACAACAGAAGACTGAAAAAACATCAAACATGGCTGGTTTGTTGAGTTTCAATTTTTGTTGAAGGATTCAGATGGTAGGGTCAAATGTTAGTGTAAACAACATGAAAGCATGGATCCATCCGTCTTATATCACTTTTCAGGTGTGGGGACACCACAGCCAGTTTGAGTATTATTACTGACCATGACCATCCCTTTATGACAGCAGTGTACCCATTCTCTGATGGCTGCTTCCAGCAAAATACCGTGCCATATTACAAAGCTAAAATAATCTCAAACTGGTTTCTTGGATATATTAATGAGTACACTATGCTCAATATTCTCCACAGTTACCAGATATCAATCGAATACAGCACCTGTGGGATGTGGCGGAATGAGGAGATCACATCATGGAACTGTGTGATGCTGCCATGTCATTATGGCCCAAAATCCCTGAGAAATGTTTCCATCAACTTGCTGAATCTGTGCCATGAAGAACTAAGACAGCTCTGAAAGCAAAAGGGGCTCAAACCAAGTTCTAGCAAGGTGTACCTAATGAAGTGAGTACCCTGGACATTTTAAACCTTTAAAAAATACTCACAGGGTGGGCTCGCACAACACTTACTGGAACATGGTGTCAGGCGACAAACTCTTATGGTGTCTGGCTTACTGTCGAGACACAGGCCGATGGTGTTGTCCCTGGTGTGACACAAAGCCTGTCTCTGCTGGGTCCCATTACCACATGTCACTGAGCACTAGGGATACAAAAAATAAACACACAATGCAAAAAATCACCACAAACTACTTACAAAATGTGAATAAAGTGCAAGCATCTTGAAGGCTCTAGTGATCGTGGCTCAAGAGTTGGGAGTTCGCCTTGTAATCGGAAGGTTGCCGGTTCGAGCCCCGGCTTGGACAGTCTCGGTTGTTGTGTCCTTGGGCAAGACACCCGTTGCCTACTGGTGGTGGTCAGAGGGCCCGGTGGCGCCAGTGTCCGGCAGCCTCGCCTCTGTCAGTGCGCCCCAGGGTGGCTGTGGCTACAATGTAGCTTGCCATCACCAGTGTGTGAATGTGTGTGTGAATGGGTGGCTGACTGGATATGTAAAGCGCTTTGGGGTCCTTAAGGACTAGTAAAGCGCTATATAAATACAGGCCATTTAGCCCACATACCTGTGACCACGGTCCAACTCTCCACTGGGTGGGGCAGGGAAATCGGTTGCAGGATCTGCGCGACTCTGGTCGGTTGTCGTTGCAGTGTTTGTTGTGGATAGCACGCGTTGTGTTGTCATCCGAAAGCTGGACGCAGCTCACCGATCGGACTTGCATGCCCGTCTTTCCACATGGCTTGCTGCAGTTCTGCCACTCGCCCGTCACCCAGCTGGAGAATATATGACAGCAAAGAGAGGAAAGAGCATCGAGGGACATCAAAACATATCGACCACAAAGGAGAACAAAGGGCGACCTGAATGCAGAAAAAGTTGCTTTAATCCGAATGTGGATTCCTACTGTAAGTCACATTTTCACAGATGTTGTGCTTCTCATGTGAATACATACATGGGAGGAGGGCAGGCCTTCTGGTTGCAGTCCCTCATGTCACCTCTCGGTTTCATGTTGGACTTGTTACAGAACCTTTTATGAACCATCTTGCTGTCGACTTTTCTTCTGCAGCCGTATCGCAGGTACTGCTTTCCTAAAAAAGGGTGGAAAATCGGACATCGTATAAGTCAAAGAAACAACGGTTTCACCGTGAGAATTTTCTTTGTTCTACTGTACCTCCACCACAAGGCCTGGAGCAGTAAGACCATTTCTTTGGGGCCCATTCATAAGCGCTGTCCTCCACTAGCATGTTGTTCTGAATTCCAGAGTCAGAGTCTGTTCTCATCAAGTACTTGTACGACAAATTCACATCCTCATCCCCGTGTAATTTCATCTAAAATCCGACAGATCATCATAAAATTAATGAAGGAATCAAGATAATGCATAATTTCAACCACAAAATGTGATATTATGAGATTCTTATGAAATTTAGGTAACTATAGATTCAATTTTAAAGTCATGTTGTTGCACACCATGATCAGAACTCCATGTCTGAGAGGCCCGGTTGACTGAAGGGTCTCCTTGTCATTGTCATTCTCATATTCCCACTCCACCCCCTTCTCTATGACCGAGTAGGATTCTGGCTTCTCCATGTCCCCGTTTATGAAGAACTGTCCTGATGCCACATTTTTCACCACTGCAGATGGGAGAAAAATTGACAACACTGCAACGAGCAAATCTACATTCCAGTATCTGGCACGGAAGAAAAAACAAGCTCGAATTTAAAATACCTAGAGTGTGCGAGGTGGCTTTCAGCTCTTGGATCAGTAAGTGCCTCGTTCCTCGGGGGATTTCGAGAACTTTAAAGAACCCTGAAATAAAACAGACATCTGGTTTGTGCCAAAAAGTCAATTTTACTGTTTCATACCAAAGAACTGCACCAAAGCCAGTAAAGCTCCCTTTCTAATTTCAATTAAATACCCTTGCGCACTACTGAAAATCCCTTCAGTCGTGATTATTTTCATCCAGGGAAAACATCTGATTCTGAGAATTTCGCTGTTATAACATGGAACTCTCCCAACACCAAGGGTTAGATAATACTGTCATAAATATTAGGTTATGAAGTGATTGTTGACGTAACTTCTTGGCAATGCTCAAATGGAAACATGTGAGCTTGGATTTTTACTGAGGTTTGCGGCAATTTTAAAACCTTGCTCTAGAGGGCGATGTTTAACCAAAAGATAAAATAAAAACAGAGAGTCCAGTCAAATGTTTATACTATGCTTACCAGAATGACAGCTGGCTGCTAGACTGGTAGGACTGAGTCAAGTCTCCTCTATGAAACAAATTAAGGATTATTCAGTGTGTTAGTGGGTTACCTTGTTTCTTGGCGTTACGTGAGATGGTGTCTTTGAAGATTTTGCAGCTGGAGTTGTCACCTCCACACACTCCACAGTTGTCCTCCTGCTCCGAGGAGCCGACCACTCCGTCGCATCCCACTTTCTGTTAATAAAGAAACTTAGAATTTGACACATGCTGATCTCAGCACGCGTGCGGCTGTCTTTCCACGCGCATGCCCCTCACCTTACACTCCGCACCCACGCAGACACTGTGTGGGTCCTTGTATGAGCACCGCGTACCATCCAGGACCACTGTCTCCGTGAAGACTGCGGTTCTGGTCTCCTTGGACTGACAATGCAGGTAGCAGCGTTTGCTAGCTGGAAAGCGGACAAAAATGAACATAGAGAATGAAAACCACTATCCAAGTGATTGTCACAGAGTCACCCCTGTGGTCTGACTAGAAGATTTCATGTTTACAATCGACATGCGATTATTTTTATGCTCTGAATAAGCTCTCTGTGAGTCAGCACGACACTTTGTCTCATTGTGTCTGTCTGAGTGAGTCATACTACAACTGCACGAGCCCCCAGAGATGAAGCCTGGCAGATAGTCCGAGTGCGAACGAACACTCCTACTTCATCACATTTATTACAGATGGCTACAATCCAGAGACCTTGTCTTTTGGAGCGTTGACACTAATAAACAGGTGGGAGACACGCAACAAAACTGCTCAGTTCGATCACGTGGAGAAAACACAATCTTGTCAGGTTGGACTGAGAATGCAGAAACAATGTACAAAATCCCTCCTCAGTGTTGTAAGTCTTTTGCTGCTCTGTGGCAGTTGACACATGCACACACATTACAGTGGAGAAGAAGAACTACAGAGGCTAAACAACAAAATATATAACCTCTATTTTCTGGTTCTTATCTGAGGAATCACCAGTCTAAGCAGACATGCCTAGACCTAGGTCTCCCCAGCTACCTCCTTCACTTCTTCTGGGGGGACACTGAGCCAGCTGAGAGACATAATATGTCCAACATGTGGGGCCTGCTCCCAATTAGATATACCCACAACACCGCACCTAGGAGGCATCCCAGTCAGATGCTTGAACTACTTCAACTGCTTCCTTTGAATGTGGATGAGTAGTGGTGGCTTTACACTGAATCCCTATTTATGCACCAAACTCTTTACCCCATCTCTAAGAGTGAGCCCAGTCGCCCTTCACAGGAAGCTCATTTCCACTGCTTGTATCCACAATTTCCCTCTTTTGTTCACTTCTAGCAGGTCATGGCCATAGATCAGGGGTGGGCAACTCCAGGCCTCGAGTGCCGGTGTCCCTGCAGGTTTTAGATATCACCCTGGGTCAACTCACCTGAATCAAATGATTAGTTCATTACCAGCCCTCTGGAGAACTTCAAGACATGTTGAGGAGGTAATTTAGCAATTTGAATCAGCTGTGTTTGATCAAGGACACATCTAAAACCTGCAGGGACACCGGCCCTCGTGGACTGGGATTGGGGACCCCTGATGTAGACTGATGTAATGGCCCACGCCTCTTAATCCTTGAAATCAGGCGTTTGCCATTTCAGCAGTATAAAATGAAGCCCATAACTATGCAGTCTACCTTTACAAACATTTGAGAAAGAATCAGTTGTTGTAATGAACTCAATGGTATTGAGGATGGTACTGTAATAGGATGCCACCGTTGCAACAATTTAGTTCTTGAAATTTCTTCCCTTAAAGATTTTCCACAATCAACTTTAAGTGGTTCTATTGCAAAGTAGAAATATTCAGGAAAGACAGCAACTCAGCCACAATGTGGCAGACCACAAAAAAATCACAGACTCGGGTCGCCAAGTGCTGAAGCGCCTAGTGTGTAAAAGTCTCCAGCGCTTTGCTGACTCAATAACTTTAGAGCTCCAAATGTCCTCAGGCATTAACATCAGCACAAAAACTGGGACTTTTTGGGAGCTTCCTGTAGCTCAGACCTCAGGTTTTTGTTTATTCACTTAAAATGTATTTTTTAAAGAAAACAAAAACAACAAAAAATAAACATCTGCCATTTAATTGTTTATTTATTATTTAATAATGTTGGTGTAGTAAATGTCCAAAATCTATGCCTTTCTTCACATTTTTAAATGCCATCCGGCGACCAGATTAGAGCCTTTGCCTGGCTGATTCTTATGTTGGACAACTCTGGCATAGATGGACCAATAAATCAGCAGTTTCCCTTTCACATTGAGCTCTTTTTTTAAACCCTTGCAGAAGCAGCAAGATGCGGCCTCGCTAAATCTCTATTTTAGCTTGTGTCAAAAGTGCAAACTTCAAACTAAACATCAGTTTTTAATCCTAACATATCCTAACTTCAGACATACTGTTCAACTATGTACAATAATACATGCAAAAGCAAAAACACTCTGAATTATATATAGTGTTATATTTTAGATAATTTCAAAAGATATTTTGGATTCAGGTATTTTTTTCAGTTTGACATTGCAAGGATTAGAGTTAAGGTTAGCACATATGATGACTTAAACCTCAGAGGGTTAACACGAGAGATAAATATAGGTGAGGTTCTATGCATATAGACTGATAAACTATAGAAGAGAAACTAGAAGTTCACATTCAGAGCAGACACTGTACTTTGTCAGAGTCACAGTACACACACTTCTGGAGATGTCAAGCTATGAATTGAATTCAGTTAAACCTCAGTTTTTTTTCCCTCTCATAGAAGCATGTGTACATTAACACGCATGCAAACACGAGCGCACACATCGAAAAGTAATTTGAGATGGTAAAAGCTTTGCTGAAAAATTTGCCATTTGGAAATAATAAAAATGAAGAAAAACAATTTAGCAAGGCCTTCTTAGCTGACTTTGAGTAGCGTGACCTCTGTTTAGATAAGGAGACAGCTCAGCACTTTTCTCGAGGGCTGCCCTTTAGTTGGACGATAATTTAATATGTATCAGGAAGGCAGTGACATCTCAACTCAGAGGCAAGGGTGGAGCTTCACACTCACACAGTGTAGTGTCAAAGGTTTGGAATATTAATTGGATACATTTAGGTTTGGGTTCTTTGTGAATATGAGAGTTTGTCCACATGTGCCAAATGTATGGATGCAGAAAAAGTTGGAGGAGGAGTTTAAATGACATCAGCAAAAGGGTGGAGAAAAAGAAGACACTGAGTTCATAGAAAAATGGTTTTAAAGTTGTGGCTTTTTACTTTTTTTTGTGGGAGGGCGTAGCCATACTTCAAAGCTGCACCCACTGCCAGATGTCACTGATGATAGAAAAACACAACCTATATATATATATAAACGCTCCACAACCCAACCACATTCAAGACTGTGCTTCCTTCTGTTGTTGGCTTTCATTTATATTTATGACTTCCACAGTCATCACTTAAGGTTTGTCTGGTTCATATCTCCACCCCAATACATTGTTTGCACGTGCATACTCACGGTCTGGGTGTTCATAAGGCAGCCAGTGGTGCTTGTTGGTGTAGATTTCAGAGTGAAGGGCCCAAGCGTGGCACTGCTCTTCTCTTGGATCGCTGTAAATATCCTCACACTCGTTGGTGTTGCACATCTGGAATTGGGAATCCTCCCCCACGCATTTCCGGCCTCCGTTGTGCGGTCTGGGGGAGTGGCAGGTCAGAGAGGACGGGAATATTTTGCTCTAGATTATGTTTTACCTCTGAAACCTTAATCATTCACATTTTTTAATCATTTTTATAAATGGCTCCTCTATCAGGAGTGACACAATACCTAAAAGTGATATTTGTTTTTATACATGCAGTGGTAAAGAGTTTCCTACCTTGGATTATTACAGCTGCGTGTGCGAAACTGTACTCCTCCACCACAGGTGCGCGAACACTGGCCAAACTCGCTCCATGCACCCCAGTTTCCATCTTGCCTCATGAGGTCGGGGGTCAGCCAGATGCAGTGACCTCTATAGCAATGCTGCAACAGTCCAAGCGCATAAGTTACCAATTGGAAATGTTGTACAATAAAACACATTTTCTTTGGCTTCCAGTAGCATTGCACTACACTTTATTATACTAAAGCAGTGTATAAATACCTTCCCTTCCCCACACATGGTTCCATCAATGGGCGGCCCTTTCTTAGTCTTGCAGAAGAATGGATTGTCTGGGTGGCTACACCACAGCTGCTTGCATGGTTCAAATGTGCGATACTGTGGGACACAGAGAGAAACCCATTCTCATAGCTGAAAGCTCCAACTTCCAACACACGCTACTAGGATGAGATTAAACACTGAATAACGGAAGCACAAGTAGAGATGGGAGGAGAGATATCACAACAACAATAGCCACAACAATAGTATTATATCCAACACTAACAACACCAAACCTGTGCTGAGTCACTGCACTGTACATTATGCTCCACTGAGAGATACACAGCCATTCATGCAAACTAAACCAATGGATGTGTGTTTGCGTGAGAGAGACAAGACTCTCATAATGAGACAGCCTAGAGTTAAGAATGTCACCGCGGAGGGCAGAGGGCAGAGGGCAAAAGGTTTCAAAAGCCATAGAGTGAGGTCTCAGTGACCTCTAAAAATGCCCCTGGACACAGATCAAGTCCAAATTCTCCTTCTTGTCTGATATGAGCCACAGATGAGGATATCAACCAACCAAACCGAAGTGAAGTCCAGTGTCTGAGGGGCGGTGCCCTCCTCCCTCCAAAGGCTTTTCTACCCACCATGACCCCAGTGGACCTTTACAGGTCTTAGTGTGAGTCACAGTCAGTGGGTAGACTGCGGTAGGTAATCAGCAGTAAGATCAGACTGGAGGATCCTAAAAGCTGAGGAGAAAACATGGAAAAACAGCCTCTGTTCTGGCTAGGCCCTTTCCCCTTGGATGGGAAAGGCATCTTTCCAACCTTTTCCGCTCGTTTAAGTCGCGAGAGTGCCAATATAATGAGGCTCTTCCTGCCAGGGCTGCAGTGATTTAACACAGATTTTGCAGAAGAGGACTTGGGATATGGTACTGTTCAACTGCTGGATTGCACCACAGCCAACCAATGAACCAGTAGCTTCACAGTTGTTTTGAAAGATTTTAGCGCCACTTTGAAGCATTTTAGAATCCTGCAGACTAACATCCAACGTTAACATCCAAACTATGACAATGGGTAGGACAGATAAACAAAGTACAGTAAAAAGAAAAAAAAATTGAAAATAAGGAGCAACATTACAAACAGTTACAACTTCAAATAGAAAAAGAAAGTCTGAGAAAATAAAAGACGAGGCCACATGTCTTCCAGGAGATGGGGTAACCTTACCTGCGTTCCTGCCTGCCCCGCCTTTTGTAGCTGAGGGGAATGAGTTTGACAAGAGAATAGAGGGTAATCTAGCAAGGTGTGCAAAGCCCCTGAACAAGCTGTCAGTCAATTAAGCAACAGCCTCCCAACAGCGTGCCACAGTGGCTTCACAGTCATAGAGCGGGTGAGGGTGACTGGAGTAAAAAGGCCTGGCAAGATGCTGCAGCTGGGTGAAGCTTTTCGTGTTTACAAAGAGCTGCTTGTGAGAGTTTCATGTAAAGGCACTGTGGTATCAAGGCATATGTAGTGTTATTATAAACAAATGAATAGTTGATTGCTATTTAACATTAACAACAGAAAAGAAGTATCTATCAAAACCAATTACCTGCTTTTAAGTAAGATGTCAATCCCACCAGAGGCCGGGAGAGGAAACAGAGGACATCAGAAGAACGTGAATAGCTGTGTATGAGTGACTCTCATTTCATTACAGTGTGGCCCTTGGTTAGTAAGGAAAACCTTCAGAGCTTAAGGGGTCACATAAAAAGTACATATGCCACAGTGAAATTCAGCAAACTGAACTGAATTAACTGATACAAGCAATTCAAAGCGGGCGAGAGGATAAAGCAATGCAAAGTTTGCAGAGGATGCCATTGTTGTGTTAGCGGAGTTTTCAGGTGTCAGTAAGCTAGCGACTGTATGCTAGTAAAGAGACTGTTTAGGACTACGCTGGTCTCTTACCGCGGTGCACGTCGTGTAGCCCACGCCAAAGTCAAAGCGGCACTGCTCGTTCATGGAGTAATGCAAACCAGGAAGTTGAGGCAGCGATGGCCAGTTGTGGTCAAAAGGGTCATCACGAAGACAGTCATAGGAACTGAAAGAAGAGTTTAAAAACGTGTTCATCTTTATTTTCTTTTTTCTTTTCTATGTACACTCTCGTCTGGCATTCTTTAGCCGTAAAACGAAGACTGGGACTAATATCATATTCTAGTATTAATAAATTAACAATTAAATGGTGTTATCACAATTTGGCAGACTTTAGTTTTCTCCCATTCTAATGACTTGAGCATGTACATCTGCTCACTGGATCACTTTCGCTCCACCAACCGGTTGCAGCAGATAGCACCCCTCCCTGAGCCTGGTTCTGCTGGAGGTTTCTTCCTGTTAAAAAGGAGTTTTTCCTTCCCACTGTTGCCAAGCGCTTGCTCAAAGGGGGCCATTTGATTGTTTTGTCAATCAAAACAATCAAATGACGCTACAGCCATGGGGGTTTTCTCTCCACGATTGTAGTTTCTTTACAATATAAAGCACCTTGAGGTGACTGTTGTAGTGATTTGTTGCTATATAAATAAAATTGAATCGATAAAGTGGGATAAAACAGCAACTCTTCAATTTCAGTTTAATTTTGGGGAAGTAGAAAAATCTGGTGAGCAAAGACTGGTGTTGGCATGGCCCAACAATGTCTGTGGGTTAAAATGTGCTGTTGGGTGGCACGATGGCATGCGCCACATCGTATTCAAGCGATGTCTGAGGTGCTCTGTGCGTGACAGCTTCTTCCAATCCTCACCCGATGTGCTGCCTTCTCACTTGAACACTGGATTTTTCTACTAAAAGCTACTGTTTGATTTCTGAGGTGTGGCCAGAGTTCCAGCTCTCATCATCAGCAATGATCCCAAACATTAGAAGTGGATCAGTTTCACGCAGATGTTTCCTCTCTGTGTAATTTGAGGTCTACGATGAAAATCACAGAGCGCACATGCAAGTAATCAAAAAGGGACACTGAGGGAGTGAACTGGAAGAAGCAGCCACAGTGGAATCAGTGAAGCTTTGCCCGAGAGAGAGGCATATAAAGGGAGATCAGTAATGAAACATTAGCAGAAACAAACACTTTAATTGGTTCAGTGTGATTTTAGCACGACTTGTAGATTTCCATGCTGTCAAAGCACCTAAAAAGTGATGCAAAGAAGTAATCAAGTGCCTTTAGAAGGTTAGGATATCGCTAGTCTTTATATGCGTGAACATCATGGACGACATAATTTTATAGGATATTTGTACTTTGTAAAGTACAGAGTGTATCAAAAAGAATCATCTCATTCCAAAAGGCTATATCATTTAAAGCAGGGGTGGAGGAACTTCAGGCTTCAAGGGACGTGTCCTACAGGTTTCAGATGTGTCCTTGATCCAACACAGCTGATTTAAATGGCTTGAAGTTCTCCAGAGGCCTGGTAATGAACCAATCATTTGATTCAGGTGTGTTGACCCAGGGTAGTATCTAAAACCCACAGGACACTGGCCCTAGAGGCCTGGAGTTCCCCATCCTGACTTAAAGAAATGGAATTTTAAAACACATGAATGAATGCAAAGTTTTACATATAAAAAACTTACAATGTTTACAAGTGTTCAATATGCCCCCCTCCACACCCATAAGACAGTCAAACCTGTCCCATACATTTGTGAGCATGCAGCCGCTGATGTTGTTAGGCTACCTATCAGCAGGAAAGGAGGAAACTCACAAATCTGCTTTTTCTAGCAGTACATGTTTCCATTGTTAACACTGAACGTTTGCAGAGTTAGAGCGCTTTGAAATCGGCTGATTCGGTTTGATACGCCCTGTATATTTTTTATTCAAACCTAATCTTAAAGACAGCACAGACTGGCAATATCCATGCATCAGCTGGATCCAAATCATACCGATGCCAGCACTGACCTTTAAAAGCCCATAAATCAAATACTTCTGTACGTGGGGTTGCATGTGTATGTGTCTGTGTCTCACTGAAGGTATCGTCCCAGCTCCTGCATGCTACATTTGGACCACTGAAAGCGGTGGAAAGCAGCCTGCACCAGAGGAGCCATGATGCTGCCCAAGTGCACCTCGTCTCCGCAGCGGTTTCCCTGGCCATCATGCTCCATCCCCAGCCTACACAAGAGCGAGAGAAAGAAAAAAAATGAGACATCAAGAGAGAAGTAAAGGGAAAAAAGATGAACCAGTGGCGACAGATTGGGAACGTGTGGGAGTTAAAGAACATGAAACAAAGGCGGGAGGCAGTGTTAATTCACACAACAGATATTTACTGAAGTGGACCAGCGATCTAAAGCTGTAATGCATCAATCCAGTTCTTCAAGTGACTGCTTTGTTTTCTTTTGTTGTGCCAAGTTAGCAGGCTCGAACCATCATCACGGCAACGCACTTACACATGCCCGGTCTCGTGTGCCACCACAAAGGCGGAGGAGAAACCGTCCTCGTGGTTCAGGGTGCAGCTCCTAACCGGGTGGCACATGCCTGTCACCGGAGCATAACCTTAGCGACAAGGAAGAGAGAGAAAAACTTGAAAGATTTATAGACACACTAAAAGATTTATAGACACTCAAACAACGATAGAGACAAAGCGTTACAATTTTGGACAGTCAAAAGACAATCTGTGACACTGCTCAGTCAGTCAAAAGTAGTGTTTAACCTCACACTAATCTATTACATTACATGAATTTTCACAGGAATTTTACTTATCAAGCTCATAATCACACTGGAACATTTCTGGTCAGTCACCAAAGTCATACTGAAATACACTGATTGGTGAGATGAAACCAAAGACACACTTACCTCTCACCCCAATGTCTGACTGCTATATAAAGATATATATGATGCATGATCCACACACCCAGAAAGAAAACTGTGTCACCCACATAAGAACAAATGTGTTTGGATTTGTGTATCTGATCCTAACCCTAAACCGTCCCCTCCCACCTCTGCGTATGCTAATCTCTTGCTCCCTGTGAGCTTTTCTGTCCTGAAATGCCTTTAATTGTGACTCTGTGGCTGGCCCTTCTCTGTTTATTGATTTTCTGCTGCTTAAGGATGAGCCCAAGGGCAGCTGAAGGGCTTCTGGATAGCTAGGCCACTGCCTTTAGAGGCCTCTCCCCTGGGCCTGACTGTTAGCCTGTACTCTGCTGCACAGAAAAACCACCAACCACCAAAGCCACAGCAGCACTACGCAGCTATATGAGAGAAAGGCAGAAAGAGGAGAGATTTCTCTGAATGATGGATTTTATTTTGTCAGGGGAGCAAATGCATTTGATTTGGATACATGTACCATTATGCTAAACACATTATGAAAGCTGATTGTGTACATGTCTTTAAGTACCCTGCATTCCCGTGGGGCCAAATTCCTGCCGTGTGAGGAAGATGGCGTGGTCGTGATACTCGGCATCCCCTGTGTCTTGCTTCTGTTGCAGAAAGGCCCAGCGACACACGTTCTCCAGACTCTGGGATGGGTTTCCAAGTTCAATCAGGCTCATGGACTGGAAAGACATTCACACGCAAAGGTAAAATAAGAAGAGGGATCAAAAAAATCATACAAGAAACATCGTTTCTTGTTCTAGTTCTGAAACATTATCCTCCTCAGCCCTGTAGAGGGCAGTGTCACAATGTTATATATTGTCAGCATATCTTGTAAATTGCTGATTTGTACAACAAAAATACACACACACACACACACATACACTCAGGGGGAAGGACAGTACTTACAAAATAATAAATGAACTCTGAATTGATAATTTCAGTCATGAACATGAACTAGAACAAAAGCAGCCTGTTAACGAGCTATGCACTAGTAGTCAAAAACATGCCCAATTACAAAATATTTACTTACAGTTACTTGCATAATGCCAACACCCACACAAACATCCAGATGCTTGCAGTTGCTTCCACTCACCTTCACCTCACACGCTCTTTCTCATTAGGATCTCTGCTTATCTACACCCCGCCCCCTTCGAAGCTTTCCATGTCTGCCTTTGCCTCTTTTCTACATTCGCTCTCTGTTTTCACGCATGCACAATGCACAGCTGAGAGAGCGCGCGCGGTGTGAGTGAGTTGCACTGAAGACATATGGCCTGCCTCTGTACACATGATGAAGTGTGAAGCCTGCACGCCGCGTAAACGCCCCGTTAGACAACGCACGGTACACCTATGTGGTTCCTCATGTTCATCAGTTGCTCGTGAGTGTGTTTTGGGGGTATTTTTAATGATCTTTCAAAATGTGTTTGCAATGATGTGTCGTGTGTAAATGTTGTGTTGGAGTGTGTGAAGTGTGGGAGTGTGAGTGCGCCCGCATTCAGGGTCACACAGCCAATCTGCAGGCTGTCTGGGTGCAGCTCTGTTGCCACGGTAATTGGGAATGATGGACAGCCGGAGCTTTGGCTGAAGCTGCATAGGGGCTGGCCCAGAATGACCAATGTAGTGCGGTGTGTGTGTGTGTGTGTGTGTTTGCACGCGTGTGTGGCGCTCGTGCGTGTGCGAGTGTGTGTTTCCAGAGTTCTACTGGGACTGTGGACATGTAGAGAGAAGAGAGGAAAAGATAAGGCTACAGCAGAGTAAGTATATCACAGAGCACCTATCCAGCAATAAAATCACTTGTATCATCTGTTGTGGTAATCCCTGCCCTACTCCATTTCTGCCATGTCTTGCTTTATCGCTCTTTTTCCTCTCTTCCACTTTTTCTCTCTTCCTCTTTTCAGCACAGATGTGCAGATAGTGTTACAGTCAGGAAGAAAAGGATGCCCCCACCCCACCCCGCCACCCATTGTCCGGTCTCTCTCTCTTTATGAATGAGGGAGGGCTATCATTGATTGTTTATCTTTGCCTGGACTTCCCATGATTCTGTGCTGCAACCCACTGGGAAGAAGGCTGATTGCATAACGGGAAGAGCTTCTGTATGTGCTTTGGTGCTGAACTGTGAAGGCGTGCAACTTGAAAACACTCCCTTGGGATGCTGAATGCTTTTAGTTCCTCTTTTGCTCAGTCCACTGGAATAACAGGCTCTGGGCATCAGCGTGTGCTGATGAGTATGTGGGTGTGTCTGTGTGTTTGTTTATGACACTGTATGTATGACTTTGCCATGCTTTCTATAGGTACTTAAAGCGACTGTAGCAAAATAGAGAGATGAGGCGTTCAATTTCCAGGAACTGCATCCCAGTTGGTTTTTCAGCAGAACTCGTGTAGTTTCAGGTCTTACCTTGCCGTAGCCCAGCATGATAATCCGGACCAGAACCACATTGATTTTTGCTCCTAAAGAACTGTCATGGTAGATGTCATTCACCTGGAATCATACACCGAAACACAAGGGAAAAAAACAGCGTCAGTAGAAGAAATTAACCCTTTATGGAACACTTTAATATAACCTAAACAAACTCTGAGGTGTAACAAAGAACTTGGTTGATTGTAAAATAATTTGTCTGCGGTTGAAAATTTTAACAATTTTTCAAAGTTTCAAACAGGTTAACATTTTCATCAAAACGCTTATTTGCTGTCTTGGTAAGAATTGTCAGGGTGTCACTGAACAGTCACAACAGTTTTAAAGGTGTTGATGCTTTGGGATACACTCACTCGGTTCAGTGAATGCATCCCTACGGCTGTGCTGGATTCCCAACTGTGAGCTTATATTTGTATGAGTTTGGTACTAACACAGAAGGTCAAGTGGGATGTCCACCAATTAGAAGGTCGGTAGTTCAATTCTTTAATGTGCATGTCGAGTTATCCTGGGGCAACAGTATCCAAAGTATCCTTGGACACAGTACCCCAAGTGTCCCCTAGGACATCCATCAGATTGTCACAATGTGAATGGGTGAATGAGGCTTGTAATAAGAAAAATGCTTTGAATTACTGCATTTGCAAAATATAAAACATCTTCATTCAGTGAGCTTCTCCTCACAGGTGATTCCCCTCTTTTCAAAACAGTAATGCATATTTATGTACACATGACCTGAAGCCCAATACTTGTCTTTATAAAACAAAGCTATATGTGAAAACACAAATCAGACATTAAACAGTAGATAACTTCCTAACTCCTTTGTGCAACATCCATACTGTATGTTGCACATCTGAGAATAGCACAGGTGGTGAAATAACAGCAAATGAGATGGCATCATGTGCCCTGCCTTGTGCTCGCTCTATACGGCTTCCTCTCCTATCCCAGGGTATTTCCAGTAATGCGAATGTAGACTAAATGTGGACTGCGAGCTTCTACTGTGTGTTACATGTGAAAAAAAGAACAACTTCAGAGAATTTTCCAACCTGATTCTTCCACCGTTTTCTGGAGGCTGTGTGTAAAAACAGCTATGCATACCTGCAATCCACAATTGGTCCATTCAGAACATGCATGCTTTAATCGAGGATTGCACTAGTCTAACTAATAAAGGAAGTAAGAGTGAGCAATAATCGTATTTCAGATAAAAATTATTTCCTGTTACACTTTCAATACACTTCAGGCTGCTTGCGAACGGCTAAGATGCGCAGCTGCACTGGCCACCTGGCTGTCGGTTGGCTCCCCAAAGGCAGAAAACTTTATTCTATAGCGACATCTCGAAATATGGCATCTTCACAGGAAGCGTCCCTCAAGGTGCTCTCTCCCAGCTACAGCCATGTTCACTGGAACTCATGTGAAGCTGTTTTGGATGCTATTATTAGTAATGATCTGTCCCACTGTTGCTTTTTTACCTTTCATCTGTAAAAGGCTGATGGGGTATTGTTGATACATTGCCGGGCAGACGGGCAGCACTTACACCTACGTTTGTGAACGTGATAACTCGAGAACGGGATGACGTAGGGAGCTTTAAATCGATATTATAGATGCATCTACTAAAAATCTCGGACAAGTTCCAATCTCAGTGACCTTGACTTGAAGGTAAAGTTGTGCATGGGATAACTTGGGCACGTGGCAATGTAGGATTCTGAAATTAGTCTGTCTACTAGGAGGTAGGTAGCACTTTTTACACTGCAGTGTTTATGTCAAACCAAGAAACTGATAAAAGTTAAGTTTTCTTTTGGTCCATTTTACCATAAGGCAGACTGTTGTACTATTATGCTGCCTACAGATTGAGGTTTAGCACTATTTTGCTGAAATAAGCAAGATGCTGAAATCTACACTTTACACTCTACACTTTAATCACATCTTGACTGTTTTACTTTAAAGTCCGCTGTGGTGGTATACAGAAGCAAAATTACATATAAATGCCATGTTTCACACAGCAGTGAAGCCCTCATCATCCTTAATTTGCAAGACTCTCCCTCTCTGGGATGGGAAGACTCTCTGCCTCTCTATCTCTCTTTTAACCCATCAAGTTGCTAAATAGTTGTGAGATGTTCCACCAGGTACTTTGCTGCCCATGCCCCAATTTCTCTAAACATGCTGCAGACATCAGTTCTGCGTTATTTACATTTTACTTACATTTGGAAAGTGGTTTGTGCCTCCAAAGAGCATATAGTGGCTTGCAAAAGTATTCGGCCCCCCTGAACTTTTCCACATTTTGTCACATTACAGCCACAAACATGAATAATTTTATTGGAATTCCACGTGAAAGACCAATACAAAGTGGTGTACACGTGAGAAGTGGAACGAAAAACATCCATGATTCCAATTGCAGCAAAAGGTGGTTCTACAAAGTATTGACTCAGGGGGCTGAATAATTACGCACACCCCACTTTGCAGTTATTTATTTGTAAAAAAATGTTTGAAATCATGTATGGTTTTTGTTCCGCTTCTCACGAATTCCAATAAAATGATTCATGTTTGTGGCTGTAATGTGACAAAATGTGGAAAAGTTCAAGGGGACCGAATACTTTTGCAAGCCACTGTATTTTTACCTTCTGCTTTATAACAGGGTTTTGATCTAGATGACCTGTAGATATTTTGGAAAAGTAGAAGTAAGTGAAAGAGAATTAACGCCTAAAATCTGTTGTTTTTAACCACTACACATGCTTATGTTCTTATGCAGTCTTAATTAATTTATGAAGTCTCCTATGACCTACAAGTCATAAGCTACAAGTGACAATTATGTGACAGCACAGTGTTATAGTGGTCCTCAATGATGGCACACAACAAGAGGGTTTTTAGTTTAAACCTACTCTGGGGTTTGTACAGTCTCCCTCTTTCTCTGTGGTTTCTTTCCAGACTCTCCAGCTTTCACCCACAAAGACATGCATGTTAGGCTATGGTGTGAATGTGACCATGAATGGGTCTATGTCTTTTTATGTTGGGCCTACAATAGACCTACGACTCTGGGTGTATCCCGCCTCTTGCCCTGTGACAGATGGGATAGGCTCCAGCTCGCACTCGGATGGATGGGTAATTATAGATTACAAAGCTGATATAAAAAGTGCTTCATTAGAAAGTTGTAAAAAGGATATATTTATTAACTAAAGAGTGAAACAAACAAAATAAATAAATAACTAATAAAGATATGACTTTTTATAACAGGAGCTCAACAAAAAGATAGAGGAGAGTGAGTCGAAATTTAGAAGGGATGGGTAAAGCATGTAGAGGCTGGTTAGGGAACTCAGTATCCCATGACCATGGATGGACGACAGATGAGAAAGATGCAAAGGATGGGAAGAGCCATAATACAAGAAAACAAGGTAATCTGTGGCAAAGTAGATGCAGAAAGCTCTCTTCTGTCTCTCTCTCTCACACACACACATGCACAAAGCCACCGAGAGAGAGGTAAATTGGCACTGGAGTTGAGACCTGCTGTCCTCAGTGGCTGTGCGTGGTGCCTAATGAGGCAAAGGGATGTAAAAACAGACAGCCATAATGAGATGGCTGATGGACATGCTGTGGAGAAGGAGAAA